CGATCCCAATACGAAGTTCGCGAACATCAGGGATATCCATCGGGCTCAAATCGAAGCGGGTGAAAAGGAGGTTATCACGGCTGAATCCAGCGACTCTGAATGCCCTAGTGAGGCTGGCAGCTGTATTGTAGTGGGTGTGGTTGAGGATCAATAGTTAATAGTAATGAGGAGGTTGGGTTGTGATCCCATCGTTTTTGTGGTGCCAGAAACAGGGGGGTGCCAGGAAGTGGGTATGTTGACTTACTAGCTTCGCGAGATGTCAACATTTCAGGCAATGAAACCCATTCTATGACTATAAAGCAGTTGAATATTTTGAGACATGAACTGGGTCGTCCTGAGCTTCTGAAGTTTGATCACTTTTGACAGACACCTCACATTTTCCCACAAGCCACAGTGAACACCTTCTCTCTTTCTTGATACCCTGATGGCTGAATACTCAGTTGCCTGGTTTCGATGAACAAAATCTACATAGCACTTCTTCCATGTCTAGACATCCTTCTCTATCAGACCAAATTGGCAATTATTATGGCCAAGGATATGCCTCCAGTGTCGACCTTTTCATAACGTCTGATACATCAGGGCGGTTGTTGTTTTCAGATCTACGGGAGCACCCGAGAGGGTAGTTAGCTTCCCGCAGTCGGCATTCAAATGGCGAATCGGGTGGCGCATGACGACTCTCATGCAAGCCGTCGGCGTTTACCCCAATACCCCTTCATTCTGGCCAGACCACTCATTGCCTTGCGTCTTCGATTCTTGTTACCACTTTGGGAAGTCAGCCAGCCACTTCATGGGCATCAGATACATGGAAACATGCACATTCATCGATTCGGCTTGAAAACTCTTGAGGTGCATAGGTGCAACAGGGTCGCCGGTCTGACATACCTGGCAGTTCGAGGCGTTCACGTCATGCCAGACTCGTCATCCCTTCTCGACTATCGCAATTACACAGCTATATTACGAGATAGAGTATGTTGAACTAGCTGCCATTGATTTGGTTTAGCCAGTCGGATGAGTTCACTCCGTACAAGATCAGGGCTAGAACCGGCGGCGTGGTATTTCGGATGGCTTCACCGCTGCTCACGGAACGCAGTTAGAACCTGGCTGACATGCGCTGCATAGGTCACGCTCCAGAAACAACTCATTTTCAGCCGCAGCCCCGATTAAAAGCTCTAAAAGCACACAAGGGGTTGAAAGTATTTGAGAATGTTCTTACAAAATTTGTTTCAACCAATGTCACCCACACCCTACACTAGACCTTTTGCGCGAGAACACCCAGTACCACAGGATACATACTGTTGAAAGATCTTCTCACGTGCAGTTCATTCTCGCCATCCCATGGCTGTGGATCAACCTTGGCAAAAGGGAATGTGTTGAACATCTCGCTTAGAAGCTCTCCCTCCAGCCCGTCCAAGGTTGATGTATTTGGCCTCGCATCCCCCTCGCTCTCACTGCCTGGCGTCTTAATGACTCTGCTTCGAGGAAATAGCTTTGTAAATAGGGTGGGAGGAAGACAAAGCACAAGGTCCGCATTATATGCCAGCAGAATACGCGTGGTCTGGAATACCCTTTTCTTGAGGTGAGCAGGCGCTGTTCTCGCAAGCTCAGGTAGAATTGTACGGAACCCTGGAATATTCCTAGGAGCTCCGTTAGCATTAATAATTGACGAAATTAATTCACCGCTCAGGGGGTGTTACGTACCACAGGCCGCGAGTGACATCGAAGGCCTGGAACTCGGTGTATCTCAGCTCCAACTTCCATTCGCCAATGGTGCGGCGGATTGTTTCGAGGTCCTTCTTGCCGAAAGACTTCTCTGTATTGTCAAGCTGTGGGAATCCAAGGTCTTTCCACGCCCGTGTGAACCCTTCGAGCAGATCAATCCGCATTGAGCTCAAACCATCCCCTTCCTTTAGTCCTCTAGCCTCCCAGTCCTGACCTACAAATGTAAAGCCCGGAAGAACATGCAAAGGTCTATACACAAGATCTTTGGGTGGATCGTCATTGTTCGCCAGCGTGCGGGAACTGACATCTTGTACGGCACAAGACATATTGCTCCTTTCTTATGCGTCAGTACAGCACTATCATCATCATCGTCGTCGTCATCTATATGATGTTATGAAGTGTTCAACTTACCCTGGCAGCAGCTTTTGGGAGTTGAGGGCAGACTCCATCAAATCCTTCTGTCTCAGGACGTCTTGAGATCCTGTCTGCTGAGCACGCTTCAAATTGGTCTTTGCCCAAGCTCTCTCCTCGCAAGCATCAAGATAATCGTATCCGTATTTTTCGATCCAATGGTCCAATGTAATAGTAGGGTCCCGCTTCAAAGCCTCCTTCCACTTGAACTCAGACAGTTCGAATTGCAGGGATGCTTCGCGCTTGATAGCCCGGTACTTCTCCTCTGCGTTTCTGAGCTTCTCTTCGTCTGTTCTGCTTGTCTATGAACCGAGGTCATTAGCAGTTGCAGAAAACACAATTTTGAACCGACTTACATCTTCAACATGGTCAATATAGCTTTCAAACAAGTCAGAGCCCAACTCAAACGATTCGTCGTAGCTTTGTCCAGAGTTCTTACCTTTCCAAGTACTGAACAAAAGAATGTCGACCTTCACCGAGAGTCGGACAGTTCTCTGTCTGCATTGCATCTGAAAGGGAAAAGATTCGACCATTGATATATGCGTCGTGCATTTTCAAGGGCACACCTGGTTGCATCGATGTTGAGGTGAAGAATGCCTGATCTTCACTAAACATGTCTCCCGCACCTCCCATTACTTTTGCCTTCAACGCGATCGCGTAGGCTTTGAACAATGGGCCGAACGATTGTTGGTAGCGCTTGAGCTTTGTGGGCTTGGCTATAGCCGCAACTCCTGTCGCTGCCTTCATCATAGCGTTCTCCTCAACCAAAGAACGGAGAGGTAAACTGACCGAGGTGGCCTGATTTGAAAGAGCAGCAGGTGTTGGTGGGGAGTCTCCGGACATAATTGCGATGCTTTAAGGCAGGGAGGGATTTCCAACGAATGAACTTGAAAGGTGGCAGACCGTGCAGCCATTCAAAGAAGACGAGCGACTAGAGGTTATTGTGTATCCTCTGCCGTTCCGGTGACCGTCAGAAGACTGGGAGAAAATAATCACTTTTGAACAAGCCTGTATTGTGATAAGACCAAAGTATATGGTTGATAGGACCATGCAGGCTTGATAAGCTCGGAGAAGGTTGTTGCTAGGCCTGAGCTGTCTACCTATGAATAACATCATACTTAGGAATGCAGTGTGCTCAACTGAGCTAAACGTAGGTCTCAGAAACATGAGAACATGAGAAAACTCTGAAGCAGACAAATTATTGGTTTGAGCTTTTTGGTCCCGCGTAGCAAGCCCACTTCGATCACCATGTGGCTGGCTGAGGTTGCTCATGGACTGTCCAGGGAGAAATCGTAGTCAGACCCCAAAACGGTGAGTCCGAATGGCTTAGACAACTGCAGTATGTGACTCCCATGCAGAACTAGACTCTTCTAGGAATCTCATGATGCGGGGAATCAGTATGAGACAAGACCTGGTGAGTACCTTGGGTACATGTAGCTGCTAGCCAGGTGGGCGTGGTGCAACGCTCCAGATCACGCCATTTGGGCTGAAAATACACACTGCTATTTATCTCGATTCACTGAGAAGAAAATTGCAATCAATTACGTCCTAAGCACACATACTATCCCATCGCTCTTTAGCATAGGTAGCAGTGATTTCAGCGTCTGACATGTCACATAAATGATGGTCTACTGTAAGATCATAAGATTTTTGGTGAGCCGTGCGAGAAACTATCGATTTACGGACAAGGAACTTGCAGCGCTCCTGAAGTTCTCAAAAAGGAAACAAGTTTCGAGATCATCATCAAGGTCACATGCCCGACTCTAACTTGTCATACTTGGAAAAAACTCTGTCTCATTGCTTCCTCCAATCAAGCTACGCCCAGTCTTCCACAGCATTACCATCGATCTTCCTGGCACTTCAATGAGAATTTTCTTCCTCGCCTGCCTTCAAAGGCTTCCGTCCATAGATGACATATCCATTCCAGTATGCATGTATCCGTGTGTCTGCCAATTCTTTTCTCACTTGCGCGCAAAGTATCAATGCCTCTTCCTTGGACCAATCCATGTAACGGGTAAGCAATGCTAGAGTCAGGCCCTCCAGACCGCCCGAGAGCATGGAGCGGTTCCAGTCACCAAGCTCCTTCAGCTTCTTATCCTTGGGCCATCCAGTGGACGGAAACTTGAACGAAACCCTCTTCACGTCCTCAAATCCCGTCTCCTCCATCTTTCCAACCAACTGAACCGTCTCCTTGTCAACAGGGCGCCCAATCTTAGTACAGGCTTCGACCAAAAGATCGCCCCATTTATCCATGGCTGTGCCTTTCATCGTATCATCATCAGCGACCGGAGGCCAGTGGCTATCTTAAATTTCAAAGTAGCCACCGGGCTCGAGGTGGTCGTACGCCTGCTTGATGATGTTGTTCCAGTCTGAAAAGCTCGCATTCATGTTTCGGCAGAGGATAAAGTCAAAGGGATTGGTCCAGGTCCACTCCTTTTCCAAGTCGTCCACCTCGAAGCTGCAGTTGGGGGGAACGAAACCGGGCTGGATAGGGCTGAGGTCGACGCCGAGGACGGTGGCCTCCGGGAATGTCTCCGCGTAGTCGAGGGCCCAGGTCCCAGTGCCGGTTCCGATGTCGAGGACTCTCTTAGCTTTTGTGCCGTCATTCTTGGGACACAGACAGAAGGCATTGTCGAGCGCCAGCATCCAGATATGATTGACAATGTCAAGACGATCTTGCTCGCGCTCGTCGTTCGGGAACACGTACTTTCCATCGCTCATGCGATGGTACGTCCGTCCGTTCTCACGGCGGTAATCCAGAATGCTCGATCTCAGCGATGCGCTGGATTCGTCTGTTGAGACACCGCCGATGGAGGAGGCGTCGTCGATTCCAGAGTCATCTGCCTCAATGGGCGGCTGATCTTCATTGTGTTGCATGTTTGATAGCCCGTTGGTCTTGTGAACGTGCTGAGTAGAAGTTGGGGGCTGCTGGCACGATTTATGGAATGAATGAATATGGGCGTGATGTGGTTCTGGAGACGATCGTCTTATTTTACCCCTCTTTTTCGAAAGAACCCCTGATTTTATACAGCTTCTCCGCTTTTTCAGTCACATTTCTGTTGGTTGAGAAGATAACAACTGTTCAAGTGTGCTCTGTTGCTTGAAAGTTCCAACACGCAACTTCCAAGTTGGGATCCTAGCCCCGGCCAATTAGCGAGGGTACCGTAGCCTCGGCTCGGATATAGGCCAGGATCTTCAACCTTGCCAAGATTAAAGGCATCGAGCGAAGATTACAAGCTCACATGGTAAGAGCAGATCAACAGATATACTACGAGATGTTGAAAGACGTTCCTGTTGTTGGATCATACATTCTGGGTAACCCACTGAATGTGAACTACACAGTTAAGCAGCCCAGGGTGGGGAGGGGAGCTATTTATCCATGACTAAAAGCCAGAGGCCCACCTTTAATGGCTGCAGATAGTTCAATTAGTCTTTTAATCACTATCTGGTCGATGATGGATTTTGAGCCAATAGCAACACTCTTACTCCTAATTCATAGGAATCGTGTTAGTTGGGCCTAGATATTTCGGGGGAACATTGGTGTTGGCTCAACATTCTAAGCAAGAGGGGCTTCAGCAAGGCCATGAAACGACATTCAGGAAATCCATAGCTTAGCGATATTGACTTCACTAGTAGCACAGTTGATTTGTGCTCCAGCAAATTCATATTGATGACGTGCAAAAGTTGCGGCAATATCTTCAACGTAGTTGAGACTAGCCATTTCAACAATCAACTCACGTCACTATGAAGAATGAGATGCAATGAAGCATTTAAACTCACTACACAAGAATGTTCCGACATATTGTTGGCAATCTAACACTTAGGGAAAACACATGCTAAAATGACTGGCTGAGAGAAGACGCAAAATTACGGGATGGCGCCTTGGCAAGGCACTCTTTCAGGGCAACACAGCTCAGCTGGTTCGAATCAGCCGCACACTAGCCCGCTGTCGCAGAACATGAGAGCGATGACGGCGATATAACATGGACGGACAATTGCGAAACCGCGATAAATATAATGAAGACATAGAACCATAATAAGATCAATCAATTTGGGTGCGTGAGCCCGACCAAGAATACGTCTTGGACCAAACATGGACCATACTCCGATCCCAAGTCGCCTGTAAGTCCATCCGACATCCTCCTCAACAATCATTCCCTCCATAGAGCCGCTACTGAAGAACAAATAGAGGCATATTTCGTCTCAAAGAAGCCGACACAAAATCAGGACTCTTTTCGCGACTCGGCAAAAAGTACATATTCGCAGTGGCGGAGAAATACCCCCTGAATTTAGACGACGCCTTGGTTCTCGTTTACTTCCCACTGATACCCTACGGTTCAAGCGATGCCATAATCTTCATACGAAGTGAATCCGACAGGGGCTTTCGCAAACATGCTGCCGTTGTCGCAAGGGGCGATCCGCAGTTTGAGATTGAGATACAGCATTACCCGGCTGAAAGCGCGACTGGTAAGTAATCTGAGATACCGGGCTCAGTCTCTGAGAGACTGATTCAGACGTAAATAGATCCCCAGTTCCTAATGATCAAGAAAACAGCACACTTTCACTCACTCGCGGACGTGATCTCTCAACGCCAAGACAAGAAGACAATAGACACGGTCAAGATTGGTCTCAAATTCCGGCGAAGTTGGGTCGGGTCGCCGGAGTACACAGAGTGGAAAGAAGAGGCCGGGACTCCCATAAAGTACAGGACTGAGGATGTAAGTATTCTTACAGTTCATGAGTCACAACTATTTCCAGAGTCTAAAGTAAAATTGTTAACGTCTGGACCAATGTAGTTCAAAGTATGGGACGACACCAACGCCCAGATCGTGATGTTGTTCCATCACTTCAACCGAGCCAAGAAGGTAGGCTGAGAACTCTATTTCTGGAAGTTCAACGGCCAGTGAAAGCTCAACTAATCATTTAAGTCCAGCCCTCAGGGGCCAGATTCTCCATAGACTTGGTGCAGAAAAGCGACGATTCGAATGAGTATCTCATCTACCCGGGGCACATGCTTTCGGTTCTTGCCAAGGCCACGACGCATGCTCTCTTGGCTTGGAACTACTGGACGCATGATCTGCAGGAAGCATCACCGATTCGGAGAGACGAAGAAGAACCTTCTTAATGTCTCTGAAGGAGGTCGTTGGACGCAGGCACTTGCTATCGACAATGTACAGTGTAGCAATCACAATCCTTCTACTCTGTCACCTCCTTCTCTTATCTTACTCACAAGGTAATGTATTTCTTATTGGAAATGCTAGTGTGTGGAATGCGTTACATACTTCTTTGTCTCTTTGTTCTAAAATAAAGAAGAAGAAAAAAAGGTGTAATAAAATATGCTTATCTCCTTGGTCGTAAAACAGTTTGTCAGGCATTGGCGAGGTTTCGGTCCTTGTGCACCAGGTGTAGGTAGGTGAGAGTAGAGTCACCGCCACCCTCGCTTCGCACTTTCCTACCTTTTCCATCAAATCGAGACCTAATACTTACCATTTAACTTACTATACTGCAACTTTAGAAAATCCTAGACTCTCCTTCTTCTGAGCTCGTCTCTCACTTTCCAAGCTGAAACGGATTGCATCTCCTTCTTCACTTTAGGCCTGCATTGAGCATTGGAATGCGACTTCTCAAAGCGCCAGAGAGAGATCTTTGATCTGGATATCTCAATTAATGTCGGAGCCGAGATTTTTTCTTTCCGACTAGTTCATCCTGTGAAGGTAAGTGGCAGACTCTCAGTTGAGGGCTCTAAATGGCCCTTATCTCGAGGTTCCAAAGTCTATCTCATTTGACTTTTGCCAAGAGACACATCAGATGCATTTTCCCCAACAAACGAGGGCCACATAACAACCTCTGGAGAAATGCGTCTTGAAACACCCCAAGTAAACCCTCAAAGGCATGAATACTGATCTTGCTTGCTTTATAAAAGTTCGAGTGAGGGACTTCCATGACTGGACTTATAATCAATTCCTGCATTGCCCGAGATCGACGAGAAAAGCTCTCCGTTGGATCTTCGTCGCAGCATCCAGATGACTATCTCAGCCTTCACTCTGCACACTTTCCAAGACCGGGCGACCCACAAAGTCGGAGCATCGGGAGTCAAAGCGACCGACCTCCGATACCTCACGTGACTCGCCTCACCCATAGATCCCAGCTGCAACTCCCGCCCGCCGACTACAAGCTAATTTCAACCACCGCCAGCCAACGCATTCATCGTCCCAAGTGGCCCAGGAAGGACAGCCAAGTCCAGGCAGAATACACTTTACCGTTCAAAGTAACGCCATCGCCAGCTAGAAGAATGTTACGACCCCATTGCCCCGCGTGCGACCGGCCTCAATCTGGCCCCGGTTCCCGTATCTGTCCTTGACATGCGTTGTGTGGACAACCCTGCACCTCAATCAAATTGCGTGTTTCCCCGTCTTACCTCTCGCCCGCGGACTTCTCCCTCGACAATCTGGCAATGAACGTGACGTACGCGGTTATGATGAAGCACGGAGCTTGTGAAGGCGAGGTGCCGACGTGTTCGTTCAGCTGATGTTGGGCATGGAAACTCTGGTCCTCTTTGAAGCATATCGAGTCCCCTAGATGTTCCGCAGTATGACCCAAACGAACTTACGCGGGAAAAAGATGTTATTTAAAGTAGTATCCCGCCTTGCCTCGTCGCGGTCGGCGTCTGCTGCCATTGCACACTCAGAAGCACTACCACACCAATGCATTCACCATCAGAGAAAAGACCATTGACATCGTCAACCAAGAGATCATCACTACCGAAAATGAGCGAAACAGACGTTCTCATCATCGGCGCCGGCCCCACGGGCCTTACTCTCGCACTCGAGCTCTCGGTGCAGAGCATCCCCTTCCGCATCATCGACAAGGCCCCCGTCCCGTCAGACAAGTCCCGCGCCCTGGCCGTGCAGCCGCGCTCACAGGAGCTCCTCCACCGCCACCCCCACATCGCAGAGTCCATGCTCGCCGAGGGCAACGCGGGACCCGGCGTCAACATCTACTGTAACAAGCGCCATCTCGTCACCGGCACCTTTGACGACCTCGGCTTCGACGATACCCGCTTCGGCCTGCCGCTGTGGATCTCCCAGGTCGACACCGAGGCTGCCATGCTGCGGCAACTGGAGGTTTATGGCGGTACTGTAGAGCGGGGTGTGTCGGCGGACGATATCAAGCAAGACGGCGTCCGCGCGAGCACCACTTTGACAAAAGGCACGTCCAAAGAGATCGTACGGGCAAAGTACATTGTCGGCTGCGACGGCGCACATAGCGTCGTGCGGCACAGCGCCGACGTGACGTTTGAGGGTGCGCAATATCCTCAGCAATTCATGCTCTGCGACGCAAAAGTGAAAGGCGACTACGACACAGAGCGTGTCTCCCTCTTTCTCGGCAGTAGGGTAATGGTCGTCTTTCCTCTCAAGAACGGCGTGGTCCGCTTCGTAGGCGAAAGATCATCGAGGAGCAAGCGCGAGGGCGACCCGGACAAAGAGGAGATTGAAGAGTTCGTGGAGGAGATGATGGGGAAGAAGTTGGAGATTGAAGAGACGCTGTGGCTGACGAGCTTCCGCTGGAACTGCCGCGGTGTTAATAACTACCGCGACGGACGGCTATTTATGGCCGGCGACGCGGCGCACATCCATTCCCCTGCGGGCGGCCAGGGTATGAACACTGGCATTCAGGACGCCATCAACTTAGGCTGGAAGCTCGCGGCCGTAATCCGCGGCGAGAAGGAGGAGGCATTCCTGGACACATACAACGAAGAGCGACACCCGGTCGGACAGCACCTCCTCACGGGCACAGATCGCATGTTCACCATGGTGTCGTCGCAAAACACAATCTTCACAACAGTGCGGAACTGCTTGATGCCGTGGATCGTGCCCCGAATCTGGAGCAACAAGGCGCGACGGCTGTCGCTGTACACGTTTATCTCGCAAATGGCCATCAAGTACCGCAACAGCTCCATTGTCGGCACGGCAGTCGGCTTTGATGGGCCTGTCAGGGGCGGCTGGCGGGCGCCGGACGGGCAAGTCACAGATGAGAGGGGCGAGAAGGGCAAGTGGTTGCTCGGGATGACGAGCGCGCGGGACCACACGATTTTCCTGTTTGCAGGCGGTGCGGGGGACGACGAGGAGAACTTGGACAAGGCGGAGGAGAAGATTGTCACGGACGGAAGGTTCAAGGAGTACGGTGTTATCAAGATCTACGCCGGGGAGACGGTTGGAAAAGGGGGCTACAAGGACGTGGACGGAGTGCTGCACAAGCGGTACGGGTTCGAAAAGGGGGCCGGGATGGTGGTCGTGAGGCCGGATGGGTATGTTGGGTTTATCGGCCCGGCGGAGTGCGTGGAGGAGTTCTTGTCAATGTGACGGCGGGGCCTGTATGCCGATGGGGTTTGGAAGAGTGTCAAGATGGCTGGGAGTAATCGTAATGGGCCAGGTGTCATGAAGAGGTAAAGGCCGTTGTTGAGATAAAGCCGGGAGTTTGGGAAGACGAGGGTAAACCTCTCCGCTCTACAGCAAAGTGCAGAATCGAATTCAGAGAAATCGTTACCAAGTATCTTGGCGAGAAAACCGTCTGAATGAAACGAGTCAACAACTCTACTGCATTGCTCGGCCTTACGCTCGGCGGCTCAACCGAATCGAATTAATGAAAGCCGCAGCCGCGAACGCGCCGGTACTTGGCGTGGCATGTGGGGGGCAAGGGAGGGAACGGGTTGCGACTTCAACGTCCGAGGGGCCGGAGACTCTCCGAGCCAACGACCGCGGAAGCAGCCATGTTCCCTCCTCCGCAGAGCCTCCTTTTTCGCCATGTCGAGTTGACAGCTGCTTGATGTGGAGGAGGTTACCAGCGATGTCAGGAGGTAGGTAGGTAGACACCTAGGAGTTTGCATGTGTATGGAATGAGACGGCGTTACAATGGCACTAGGACGGAGCCTTTGGAACGAGGAAGAGATTACATCAGACTGACAGGAGGAAAGAAGGTGTCTATCTGTAAATGGACATGGAGACGAGAGAGAAAGACGCGGCCAACGTGGAGTCCCCGCATCGTGATAGTGTGACGAATGCATCGTCTGCTGTGGGCTTTGCTATTCGGCCCGATCGAGTCCCATGAGCCTCTCTAGGACGGGATATTTCAATGGGGTTTGAGCAATGCAAGATTCGGGGTGGGAGATGCAGTGAGTCGTCAGTTTTCTTTTTGTGGATTATTCCCGCCCCGTTCTACGGTGGGGGGTGACGACCGGAGGGCGGGGATAAGAACGTGGATGAATCGGAGAATTCGACCCAAGTTTGTTCCGCGATCTCATCGTTCAGCGTAACCACATAACCCAATCGATGAGGTAGAAACGAACTGCATTCTCGGTTGCCCACTTTGCTGAATTTGTCCTGTCTAGGAACTGAGTACAAGGAACTGAGTAAGGTACCTACTACCTATGTAAGGTTGGCTGTGAAAGATGGTTGACTAAGACAGGTACGTACTCGCGGCGCTGACCGCCGAGGCGAGGAAGCCACGGATCGACGGAATTAAGCTTCGACTACAGCGATGGCCCCGGCACGCCTCGCCCGTTTCAGAGCCGCGGATGGAGTCTCCACCAAGTGACGTCATCGCTGCACCTTTGCCAACGTCAAACGTCAACGTCAACAGCGCGCCTTCTCGCCTTGCCTTACCTACCTTCCAGGTTATGTACCTACCTTCCAGGTTATGTACCTACCTTATTGTGAAGGAATGAACGTGGGTACGTAGCGGTGATCAAGTATGCGGGGTGCAGATTCTATCCTCGTTCTTTTCCATCTTTTCCCGTCCCCTGCTGCCATGCTTTGGTTGGACTCTTGACTCAGTCCGCGTCGTGGACTGCCACGGTTTGGCCGAACCATCATGTCATCCCTTCGGCCAGTGAGAGTAGAGACAAGAGAAACATGCATACAGAACGACCGCTCGCACACAGCCGGCCGGGCTCAACCCCGAAACTCTGAATATCCCTGCTCCCAACTGTGGCCAATGGACCACTGACCTCGAGTCTGTCTCTGATGCATTGGGGCTGACTGATTCCCCGCCATCCATCCATCCTTTCCCATCGTTCGAGTCGGCCCGGCCTAATCAGCGTCGATACCAGCGAGCGGCCATCGCGCCCTGGGACCAACCATGGGTCTTGACCTTGGTTTTCCGCTTTGCTGCTGCCGAAGCTGCATGTTCTACCTTGGCAGCCACAGGTAGGTAGACCGTAGAACCGAGACCTGAGGTCCCTGGGACGCATGTCACTAACGCCGCCGCACCATGGCGATGACATCGTTTTGTTATCCACACTAGTCAGGCGCCTTTCCCATCACCGCCCGATCCGTCACCCATTACCCCACAGACTGGCGACGAGCACACTAGGGGTACCTCTGGGCAGGTAGCCGCGATAGATTTAGCGGCGACGCCTTGTTACTGTTAGAGCTTGTCTGGGGTTGGCTGGCGTGCCCCGGCCCCATGTTGGTTCGGGACTAATTGACGGGGCCCCCACCATGGGAGAGATGATGCCGTTAGGCGGAGGAATTAGACGTATGTAGTTCCCTTTCTTGGCTTTCTATATAGACTGCGTCTGATGCCGCTTTCCCAAACAATGGCAGCCCAAGACAAATGTTTGTTGGTCTAGTCTAGTCCAGGGTAAATTTGGTATTCGTCGGGATTGGGAAAACACAGCACGGGTTCCAGCACTAATTCTTCGACGCTCGGTCCGCTTCACCGTTTGCTCTTCACCTTTTCTTTCATCTTCTCTCTCACAAATTACAACCACTCTCACCAATTGACGACAACACACAACTGGATCGATTTCTCATACTGAGCCTTTCATCATGGGATGGTTTGGCTTGAAGGGCGGGTGGCTCACCTTTTGGGTCACCATCGCCTGCGCGACAGACATGACACTCTTCGGGTACGTCTGCTCCTTCCTTCCATCCTCCTCACCTCAGCTCACCTTCCACCATTCACCAATTCTTTTCACCCTCAAACTCCTTCCCCCCAGAGCCTCATCTTCCAACCTTCTGCTCTCAGGATCTCTAATCTAACACCCCACCAGCTACGACCAAGGCGTCTTCGGCGGCGTCATCGTAACCGATGACTTCCTCCAAACGATGGGCATCGTCGGCAACGACAAGCTCCAATCCACCGTCACCGCAATCTACGACATTGGCTGCTTCCTCGGCGCAATTTCCACCATATGGATTGGCGAGCGCCTCGGCCGCAAGAACACCATTCTCGTCGGCACCACAATCATGTCCATTGGCGCCATCCTGCAGACCGCCGCTTTTGGCCTCCCGCAAATGTTCGTTGGCCGCGTCGTCGCGGGTATTGGGAACGGTATCAATACCAGTACCGCGCCGGTGTGGCAGGGCGAGACGAGTAAGGCGAGTTGGCGAGGCAAGTTGATTGTTATTGAGATGATTATGAACATCTTTGGGTTCTCGCTGAGTATGTCTTCCTCGTCTTCCTTTCCCTCTCTGGATATCTCCCGGCCTCGTTCTTCAGTACCAGATACTAACGATGAGCAGGTAACTGGGTCACGTTTGGCTTCTCATACCTCACCGGCTCCATCTCATGGCGCGTTCCCCTGGCCTTCCAGTTCTTCTTCATCTTCATACTCTACGGCACCGTCCCCTGGTTGCCTGAGTCACCTCGGTACGTCCCCTCCCTAGTCCCATAAATATCACCCGCTAGATTCCTATGACTGATAATAACCCCAGCTGGCTCATGGCTCAAGGCCGCGTCGCCGAAGCCGAACAGATCCTTGCCGACCTCGAAGACATGCCTGTCGACGATGCTTATATCCAGACTCAGTCCAAGGACATCCAGTGGGCCATCAACTACGAAAGAGAGAATACCGTCCCCTGGTCGGACCTCCTCCGAGGCCGGACCGGCGAGTCGTCGGGAACGTCCACCATCCGGCGTATATTCCTCGGGTGTGGAACCCAGGCCATGCAACAATTTTACTTGAAAGGAGGTGCCCCAAGACATCTGCACCTTCTAGAAGGTTCAGGTATATAGGATACTAGAAGCATCTAGGCTACTAAAAGCAACCCTTTATTAATATAGTCTATATAAGGGACCTAAGAGGATCTATTATATTAGATAGATCTTCTCCTTCTTTATCTATAAGTCAATAGAGATATTATTAATCCTTTTTACTAAGTAGTTATAAACCCAGAACTCTCCTATTAAGTTATTAAAAATAGCTATTTTAAAAAGACGTTTTTTTACTTACCTTACCCAGTCTTATTTTAAATATAATAACAAATATAAATACCTACGTAGGTTACTACGTAATTATAAAGAATGCCAAAGAGCCTCTTGCGGCTAAGTAGTTATAAAGTAAGTCTAACTATTTTAAATAGAAACGTAACTTCTATAGAGCTACTCGAGCTACCAACGTTTAGGCCCTCCTCGATAGTAAAGAGAAGCGGATCTTAGAACCTAAGGAGGATTCCTATATCGTTTATACCGCTACTATATATACTAGACTAACTACGAGGTCCTCTACTAAAAACGAGAGTAGAAGTTCTTCTAGCCCTATCCCCGACCCTACCCGAACTCTTATTAAGTAGTAGATAGAGGTTAAGAAGTAAAAAAAGTACTAAGAGAAGTCCCGTCTTACTTTTAACCTCCTCTTTAAATAGGTTAGCCTTAAAATAGCTACCAAAATCGAAGACTTAGACAACGCTTTCAACGCCTTTAAATAGATCAAAGGTTACTATATAATCACTAACGAGCTTACCCGGGAGTAACTTTTCAAAAAGGTCGCTAAGCTCCGCTTCACGGGAAGCGATAGTATAATCGATTTTCTTAATAAATACTAGTAACTTAAGGCCGACCTTATCTCTACTAGCTAAACGTATACTAATAGCTAGCTAGTATCGAATCTGCTTATTAGACTACTACGATCTTATAACAACTTTAAAAGTCAGTACGACTAGATTCGTACCTAATAAACCAATAGACAAACCGATCTCGACTTCATCTTTAACCGACTTCTTCTAAAAAAAGAAAACATAAAGTCTCGCCGCAATAATAATAACTTTACTAATAATTAAGAAAGTAATAACGGAAATAGCAGTCAGAACGGTAAACGACCGAAAAAGGGGGGTAATAAGTCATAACTATAATATACCGGCTATAGGAAATAAGGACACGAGATAAGCGAATATTAGTACATAAATCTAAATAAAGTACCTAAAGTACTAAGGGAAAAGTAGTAAAAAGTAAAAGAAGATAAGGGAGGATCTAAAAGCAATAGAACTACTAACTTATCCTCCTCCTCCTCTAACTCTAAGCCTAAAAAGCTTTGTACTATTACTAACGGCTACGCCTTCCTCTCTCTCTACCGATCCATAGCTACTAATAATATAATATCTAATATACTCGGATTTACTAATACCCTCAATATCAATATCGGACCCTAGTTTTCTAAAGTAAGTATAGTAAACCGAGAGATTATAGCTATCTTTAAGTACATAATTAACTATAATATAAATAATAATATTACCTAAACGATCGTTACTATAAGCCTCCCCAATCCTTTATAATAGGAGTATATAACTTAACGCTTCGCTAAAATAGCCTAGAAAATGGTCTACAAAGCGATTTACGCCGGCCGTATCGTTCTTTAAAATCGAGACTAAATCGACGGTTAATACCCTATGGCGGACACCTCGAACGAGCCTATAAGTACTATAATCGAGACTTATCTCCTATTTTATATATTAGTATAAGGAGTAATCTATAAAGTTAAAAACGCTCCTAGCGTCTTTATATAGAACCTCCTTAAGACTAATAATAATCTTAATAAAGAGAAGGATACCGATGTTAATAATAAAAACATAGATAACGAACACTATAATATTAACATTAGTCTAAATAACTAACCCAATAGTAAGCTATCTCTCTCCAACCTCTCACCCCTAGGTCTTCTTACTAACGTAAAACCCCAGATAACTTATAAAGGGAAAAGCGTCTAGCAAAGGGACTTGGAAGAAAGGGTATATAAAAGAGAGAGAGATTACTAAAAAGAAATATTTCTTTATAAACTATTAGAATATAATACACTTTAGACTTAGGATTTAAGTAGCTCGGATATCGTACTTCTTAACTCCGGAACAAATATCTACTTATTCAAAAATAAGAAATAGTTTATTACTTTAAGACTAATTAATATAAATATTAGCTCTATTAACAAGAACGTATCCTTAAGAGTTAAGGGGGGAGGTAATATCCGTCTTATTTTATTAAATCTAAACAGTATAGAACAACTTCTTACTTTTACTAAGGTTACCTTCGCACCTAGAGCGCGTTATAATATTATATCACTCTCTTAGCTAGCTATTAAAAATAAACTTCAAAATATTTAGAACGATTAACAAATCACTATTTATAAGAGAAAAGAAGTCGTCAGCTATACTAAGCAATCCAACGGACTCTTCTACCTATAGTTAAAAAATACTAAGAAAGTCGCTACATTCAGATCGTTATTTACGGGCCTTATTACGTATAATAACAAAGTCTAGCTATAGTACCAAAAACTCGGATACCTTAGCCTTTATAACATAATTTAACTATTAGGAGTTAGTAATAGAATAAACATTACTAAAGCTAACATTATTAAAAAGATTAACGTAAACGAGATCTACCCTATATACTAGTCTATTAAAGCTTTAAACAAAGTTCCTAAAGATTTAGCGATAAAACGAGAGACGGAGTTTAGAGCCTTAATATATATAGATACCTAAGGTCCCTACCCTATTTAAGGATACGACGATACTAAGTACTTCCTCTTTATCACTAACGATACTATAAAATATTAAGAAGGCTTTTAAGGTTACTATTAAAGTATACCGTTTTAATTAGGAATTCTATATTAGAGCTATTAGAAACTAATTAATAAAGATTAATTATCGTCTCGAGCCTATAGCGGCCTAGTATCACTATATAAGAGGAACTTATAAGAGGGTTAACTATATAATAAGAGATAAGGCTATAGTTATAATCTAGGAGCTATTAGTAATAGGCTAGATTTTAAAGATTATTACTAAAAAAGCCCTAGAATCTATCTCTATCTTAGCCCTTCTAAAAAATCTCTAGCCAAAAGTAGTCTACTACTCTATCTAGTTAAAAAACCGATCCCTATTAAGAGTACTTAAGGTTAAGCCTACCCTATTACGTCTAGACGCTAAGAACCTTAAAGTTTAAGAAGAACCTAGAGAACCCAATACCTCTCGAACTACTTACTAAATACTATAAGAAAAAGTATATAATAAAAAACCCGAATTCGATAGAGAATTAATCTAGGGGAGTAGGGTTTAGGTCACTATCCCTCCGGAAATTAGAAATAAGGGGAAGCTATATACGCTAAGGGGATAGGTCGGATACTTTATTAAAATAAATTCTAAAGCGGTTTATTATATCTAATTATTAAATAAAAAGCGCCTTTTTTAAGTTAGGGTTGCCCGGGTTTAGTAAAGTATTAGTCTTAATAACCCTTAGGAGGATACATAGGATTAACAAGGACCTATCTAACCAAAGAACTATATAGAAGATCCCGTAACTATCAGAGATTAATTAAGGGGAGTTACTAAATAACTAAAGGAATAGTAGCCTAATAACGAATATTTTTAGGTTAAAGATAAGAGCGAAATAGAAAAATAAGAGGGAGGTAATAACGAGTTAGAACTACCTATTATAAATACTAATAAACCTAATAGTAAACATACAGAATAATAAGAGGACGATACTAACTAACTTGCTCCTATATACACTCTACCTAGTCTACAACTAAATAATAATAACTCTACTAATACTAGTTATAGTCGAGTTATATTACGATTCTTTACTATAGCTTCCTTTACCTCTCGAGATACAGAAGGACTAGACAATAATTATAAAAAAAACTATAACTCCTCTTTTTCTAACCATAGCGAGGAGCTAAAAAGCTCTAGTAATAACAATAAACCCATAAAGAAGAGGAGAAAGAAGAATAAGCGAAGCCCTTTATAATAGAAGAATTAAGTTAAGTTTTAATGTAGTAATAAGATCTATAAGCGCTACGCTAAGAATAGTTTATACTACTTCTTCGATATAAATATATATAATCTAAAATACCCAGAAATCTTTTCTTACTATAAGAATTATAAAAAAAAGGAAAGGAAGTAGGAAAACTATAAGCTTATCACTAATCCGGACGAGATCGAAGCTTATTATAATCTAGTCTACTTAAAAGATAAGTAAAAAAGGGAATAAAAGAACTAGAAAAGACTATTTAAAAAACCTAAGAAATCGGGAGTCCTAGCAGGTAAGAAATATTACTAATACTTTAAACAAAAATATATATACGACGGTAAGACTCCTTACGAAACTTATACTTTAAAAAAGGTTAACTATGTTCCCTAAGGGTTTAAGAAACTAGATCGTTATAATAAATATAGAGGGAGAAACAGAGTATACGAGGAGAAGAGATTTTATACAAAGTATGTTAAGAATAATATTAACTACGCCCAGAACGAACAAGACGGGCTTATTATAAGGGTATAGCTAGTTAAAAAAAAGACGAAGATTAAGTATATAGATATTTAAGAACATAAGTATCTCGGATATTAGGAAAATCGAGTTATAATTTATAATAGAGGATAACCCTACGCTTATTACGTTAAAAAAAGAAAGAAAGGAGAACGAAGGCTATATATTTACTATAACGAGTTTCTTAACTATTTTAAAAAGTAGAACATAGAGGGATATAATATTAACAAGGACAGAAAACTAGTTCTTAAAGAAGATTAGGAAAAGTATACTAATATCATTAATAGAGTACAAAAGAGAGTAGTAGTAAGAGCCGAGGTTAAACTATTTATAAAAAAAACTCTAGCTACGAAGACTAAAGCTACCCAAGAAACTAATAAAATAAAGGCTACCGCTAACTCGTTAAACAATAACCCTCTAACCTAGTAGAGATTAGTTTATACTCTAAACGATAGACTACTTTGTAATATCTACGCTATTATATTTAATATCCTCTTTTAAATACCAGATATTCGACCTCCCTTTATAAAAAACTTTATAATAATTTATAACGAGCTTTATTAACAGAATCTAAAGTACAATATAGATAACAATAATATATTTAGGGCGGACTAATTCGTAATAATAATACTAAAATACGGTCTATACTAGCCCATCCTAACTATTTTTTAACTTAGATATATATTACTAAGATCGCAGATATATACTTACCCCCTAGATCGACCCTCACTCCCAGAGACTCGATAGGTTATCTAGGTCTATAATAATAGTACTAAGAACGGAGAGTATTTAGGGTTACACTAGTTAGGTATACAACTAACTAATACCCCTACTTAGACCGTACCCGCTCTCTCTATTCTAACGGAGATTACTACGACCGGACTTATTATAAACTCGTTATTTATATCTAAAGATAATATTATTAATAATAACGCTAAATAGGGATATAACGATGCTCTAAATAACGATATTAATAACTTTAAAAGGGAGATTATAGTAATCTAAGGTTACGAGTTTATTAAAGCTCTATAAGAGGAGGAGTTAAATATAAAAGAAGACGATAGATACGAAACGGTAACTAACAATATCGACGACGATATTATCGCTTTCTCTTCTTACTATTATATTACTATAGTAAAAATAAATACGTCTACTCTACTAAACCCTACTAACTATTAATAAGCTATAAAGTTATACGATACTAAATAATAGAAGCTAGTAATTAAATAAGAAAAGGATATACATACTAAGAACGGTACCTTCAAAGTAGTTAGCAAAGTATCTATACTACCCAGAACTAAGGCTTTGCTTTCTCGATAGGTATAGGTACGTAAGATTAGGCCTAATGGAAGCATTACCAAGCATAAAGCACGACTTATAATAAGAGGAGACCTATAAAAAAAAAGAATCGACTATAACAAGATATATGCTACGGTTATAAAGGCAATAACCTACCGAATTCTAATTACTATTATAGCGATTTTAAGATAGACTGCGCATTCTATAGATATTATTATAGCCTTCTTTAATAGCAACCTTGCCGAAACTGTATACATAAGACCTCCTTAGGGCTAGAAGCTCCCTCAGGGGACTCTCTTCAGGATCTACAAGGCTCTTTATAGACTTAGATAAGCTCCACGAGTATAGTACGGTAAGCTCTTAATAACGCTAAAAGGCTGGGGGTTTGAGGTCTGCCCTTACGATAGCTACGTTTTTATTTATAATTCTCTAAAAGTTATCCTTAGAATCTAGGTCAATGACTATTTTATTATTAGCCTAGACGAGCGTTAAGTCCAGCTAGTCAAAGAAAAGCTAAACTTATCCTTCGAGATAAAGGACGAGGGACCTATAACCTACTACCTTAGACTATATATTGACCAAAGACCTAACGGTATTCTAGTTTATTAAAAAAAGTATGCGGAGAGGATTTTAAGACGCTTTGATCTACATAATTAGCATAGTAAAAAGATTCCTATATAACTAAGAATAGTACTAAAAAAATTAGAAAACTAAGTTAACGAGGCCCGGAGGACTAATTACTAGCGCAAGTCCAGATCTCTTAACTTCTTAATAAATCAGACACGACCAGACTTAGCCTTCTCAACCTACCTTACCGCCCGCTATAACTCCAACCTAAGTACGGGATACTCTTAAGTACTCGACTATATCTTCAGGTATATTAAGAAAATACTAAGACGAGGTCTATTCTATTAACGAGGATAGAAAGGTCTTACTAGTTTCTCTAATAATAACTATATAGGATATAAAGATACGGTAAGATCTATAACCAGGTAGATCTTTATACTAGGGGGAGTACTAATCTTATAAAGCTCGTAACAGTAAAAAATAGTTTCGATATCTACTACCAAGGCTAAATATATCGTAGTAGTAAAGGCTACGAAAGAGGCCGTCTAGATTAGGAACTTTATTAACTCTCTTAATATTAACAGACTTTATTACAAGAGCATACCTCTTTATATAGACAATAATACTACTAAGAAGCTTACTAAGAACCCTAAGTTCTATAACCACACGAAGTATATCGATATCTAACATTACTTTATACGCAAACGAGTTACTAAGATCAAGGATATTAATACTATCCGTATTAATATAAAATATAACCTTACTAATATACTCACTAAGCTACTTACTACCTAGAGGTTTAAAGAGCTCGTAATACTAATAAGTATAGAGGATGCTGCATAAGAGGAACAAGAGGACGCCAACAATAGCTAAAGGGATAATAAGGTACAGAGTCTTATATTAGGGGGAGACTTAAAAGGAGGTGCCCCAAGACATCTGCACCTTTTAGAAAGTTTAGGTATATAGGATACTAGAAGTATCTAGGTTACTAAAAGTAGCCCTTTATTAGTATAGTCTATATAAGGGACCTAAGAAGATCTATTATATTAAATAGATCTTCTCCTTCTTTATCCATGAGTCAATAGAGATACTATTGATCCTTTTCACCAAGTATTTTCCGGAATTAATGTTACAAGTTACTATTTACCTCTCGTTCTCATCAATTCCGTCGGTTTGGACAATAAACTAGCGAGGTTACTGGCGGCGTGTAACTCCGTCAGCTACTTCTTGTTCAGTTTGATTGGAATTCCCAACGTGGAGAGATGGGGAAGGCGAAAGATGATGATGTGTAAGTTGTGGAAATGTCGAATCCAGGCCCGATGAATACGCACAGGACAGCTGATTGTTGCAAACAGACGGTGCTTTTGGCCAATTCATGTGCTACGCCGTCATTACCATCTGTATTCGTTACAATGAAATGGCTGGCCTGGCACCAGAGACGCAGTCCCAGTGGGCAAAGGCTTCCATCGCCTTCTTCTTCTTGTACTATGTCTTCTTTGGCATTTGCTGGCAGGGTACTTCAAGTCCTTTCCCGATTCTTTGGGTCAATGTTTGCTAATTCGATATAGGTGTGCCTTGGCTGTACCCCACCGAGATCAACAGCTTGTCCATGCGTACCAAGGGAGCCGCTCTCGGCACCGCAACGAATTGGATTGTCAACTTCATGGTACGTCTCCCGCGATTCTCCTCCAATGCAAATAAAAGCACCCAGAGACCTAACCCACCAACAGGTCGTCGAGATCACACCACCAGGCATCTCTTCCCTCGGCTGGCAATTCTACATCATCTGGACAGTCTTCAACTTCTCCTTCATCCCCATCGTCTATCTCTTCTACCCCGAAACAGCAGACCGCTCCCTCGAGGATGTGGACCGTTTCTTCGCAGACAACCACGATATTTTCGTCTTCCGCGACAAGGACGCCACAAGCTCAAAGCGGCCGATGAAGTACATCGCGCAGGAAGAGGAGGCGATCACGAAGCGGAACAGTCGGGGCGGTGTGCCTGGTGCTGAGGAGGAGGATATGTTGAGGCGAAGAGGGGCTGTGGAGAAGATGAAGAAGGGGCGTGAGGATGAAGAGCTGGCGTTCGGAGAGCATAAGGAGAGAAGATAGGCGGGACCTCCTCTGTTTGTTGGTGGAGTGTACGATCTAGATGAGATATTTACGAGTTATGATGGTAGAAGTTTCATGATACATGATGGTTATTAAACATTGTTCTTCCACGATTGACCGATCGAGTTTGGGTTGCCATCTTCTGACATAACTGTCTAATGGCTGCCATCGCCAGGAGACCTCGATGGACTCTGGTCGTACACAAGAATAGACATGGAAAACGTCACCAACTTTGCGCAGTCTTCTTCTAAGATCCCGGGTGATTCCATTCTATGGATCTGTCTATGCTGATCTGATTCGGTCTTGACAAGGTCTCGGGGGGCACGTTGTCAATCTGTCAATTCGCGGACCTCATGATGCCCCCACTACCCCTCCCCGGCTTCGTCTTGCCTCTTTGATCCTCTCTGCTTTGTCTCTTCACCCTTCCATTTCGCTCACTCTGATACTCCTTCTGTATCGGTCCTTGGCTTTCTTGTCGATAGAGGCTTTCTTGTCGATAGAATCAAATCCGGTCATCTACCTCACGGAATAGACAGTCAGCAACGGAGAGAGATTCAATAGATAGCACTCACACCAGGAACCTTATACTTGCCCTCATCTCAAGCATCAAAAGGCGTAGCACGCGCCGCAGCTCTCAGCCATCCCGCGTAGGCAACAGGCTTCTCCCGGCTTCTTCTGACAATGGAAGCCGAAAAGGTTCCTCCGTGAACGCCGGGAGAGGGGAGTTGACTAGGGGCAGAAGAGGAATCTTGGCTGATGATCATCGCGGGGAACACGAGCATGATGAGGTGGACGTGGTCGGTGATAGCGGCGTGGTTGATTCGGAGGCTGAGACAGGTGTCTGCGATATGCTTCAGCCATTTCTGGGTGGTGGGCTCGAGGCGAGAGACGTCGGGGCCGACGATGGAGGTACCCTCGTCGTGGTGGTCCTCGTTCTTGGTCTTGGTCTTCTCCTCCACCTTGCGCAAGTCGCTGACAAGGGCGTCAAAGGTACCAAAGGCCCTCACCTCGATCATGGCGAACCGACGACGACGACGGGTACTGAGTGGAAAGCTCCGAGGCAGGATCTCGGCTGGATCGTGGAGGGCCACGAGAGAGTACACGGCTCTCTTCAATTCCCATAACCCCGTATCCTGCCAACTGTGTTTGACCACAGACGGGATGGGCTGCGTGGGATGGCGGCGGAGGAGATGGAACACGAAAGGGTGAGCGGGATCAAAGAGCTGATCGCACACGTCGAAGGCGGTGGCACCCCAGCGCAAGTCGTTTCTGACTCCCACCAGTTGTGGGTCTTTGAGGGGCTCCAGGTGGGCGTCGGTTTGGAAGCATTCCTGTACCAGATTAATGTAGAGCATGGGGTCGACGAAGGTAACGTGGGTGAAGTCGCTCATTTGCAGACTGGTCGCGGTCTCTGGAGGCGGTAAGGGAGGATCGGCGGGCTCACCGTAGGGGGGGAACCAGGCGGCGAGGTCATCGTCGAGGTCGAAGAGTAACGTCTTGGCTGATAGCGGCATCTCGGCGGGCAGCGGAAGTATTCTGAGCTCTTGATGCAGCTGGAGATGATGTTGGCGACATGTAGAAGGCGTAAAGGCTGGCTAAATTAGCGAATGAAGAAGGTGAGGCAATCCGTTCCAGCTTGGAAAGTGAGAGACGGCTTAAGAAAAGGGAGGAATCCAGAGCTTTCTGGGTTTGTGGTGCAATGATTCGAATAATTCAGTAAGAAATAATTCAGTGAGTGCCAGGTCTAGATTTGATAAATATGGTGGGAAGGTGCGACGGGGGGGGAGGGGGGGGGCGGTGACTCTGTACTCACCCACACTCGGTGCATGGCCATTCAGAGTCCTTAACTGATAGTCTGCCACTTATATCACAGGAATAACTGTTTCGGAAGGAGACAGCCTCAGCTCCGACGTCGATTTGGATGTCAATATCAAAGAACGTCGCATCCCGATGGCTCAATACAGACTTGGAGTCATTGCTGATTTGTTGTTGGCATGAACCTCATCGGCTTCTTAATTTGGTACCTTGAAAGACATCTCCTTGTTTAACGGCAGTATCCCTTCCTGAAACTGCTTCAGCTTCTTTCACGACATGGAAACTGCGGACAACAATGTAGTATAGCTCGGGCATATCTCGCTCATGCCACACGAAATGGGGAGCGTCTTGCAGGACGCTTGACACACACTGCTGTCAAATTCCCGTGGAATCCGGGTTAAACACACTGAAAGCACTGTGTTCTTGACTCTGCCTCTATCATTACAACTGAGGACAACATAAGAAACAACTGGGAACAGTTCAAACTTGGTCCCTCCTCCACGTATACCATTAACATTAGTTCCTAAGTGTCGTTCATAAGCCGGAAATCCCTCCTTGTTTCCGGGAGAATCATCTTTCCATCCTCCCTTCGAGGTTTATTTCTTTCGTCCTCTCATCTGACATTAACCCTCCAGAGATATTAGTTTCAATGTCCCACATTCCAGCCCAGTATCGTTTCATCCGTCTATCCTACATGGCCAATCCAAGATTGCTGAATTGCGTCTGATAGGACATCGTCCTTTTTATAAGATGCAAGTATCCGAGCTTGCCTCGCTTTCTCCTCTCATCGCATCCAGATTTCTATGAACATTTTGGATGAATTATTTGGGCATTCAACTAATATATCAAAGTCTGAAATCCATCTTGACACCGACGATGTTTCCTCCCGGCGCTTAGTCCGGCACAAGTTTTGAGCAAGTTCTTCTTCTGCAACTGAAACTTATCCTTGGAGATTGCAGAGGTCGCATAGGTAGTAACACAGGTAACAAAGGTGCCTCATTCCCTAGCATAGGGGGTTCCTTTCCGGGCAAACACCACCTTTGTTCTGATTTCCTTTCTAAGCCTCGAAGTACAAGCCGCGAATTCTAGACACTTGTTAGGGTGTCTTTTAGAGGATTTGAATATCCTATAGGCATCTTCATCCTTTGGGGTTTTGTCACTTTTCCTGTTAGTTGGTCAGGTAAATCCAAACATCGTGGACTCAGGTTTTCGGCGCTATTTTGCCTGAGACAGGTGAGCTGTCCTGGTCGGTTTTTCCTAGCCATAACTTGCTGCGAAAGTACTTCTATGTTCCTCCTTGTGTCAATGTCAAGGTAGTTTTCCTTCACCTTTTCAAGATCCTTCTCAATGTGATCCCGACTTTTGTTTCATCTTTCCATCGCAGAGGCCTTAGGTCTTTCTCTTCATGCCCGTATCAAGGCAACTTTATAAACCTTGAGGTGCCTCATTTCATTCGTTTATACTTTTGCGGGTACCCAGGGAAGTTCGAACTCATGCGCCGCCGAAAATCACTCTGCCCTCTCTCATCGACTCTTTCCCCTCCACTTTCGCACCGTCGAAACGTGTTTTTCCCTACACAAAATCCCTTTCATTCCTCACCGTTTCATCTTCTCGCATCTTGAGAAACCTACACTCTCTCCCCGCCAGGCCTGATCAAACCTCATCATGTCAGACTCTGGCATGCCGGAAGCAAGTGGGGAGGATGAGCGCCAGCGACAAATTCACCTCTGGAAAGAGTTCGGGCGTTATAAGCCACGAGAAGTCTTGGCGCTCTGTCTCAGAAGCTCTGGTATACACTACGGTCTCCCAGAGTACGGATCAGAAAGGCCCGAGTCCAATGAGTGGCTCCTCCCCGACTTCGACCCCACAGTTGAGCAGCCGGGTCACGAAGTGCAGGTCGAGGTCATCAGATGCTTGAACGGTGACATCGAGGGTAGTGCACTTATCCTCCTTTGCAGGATCACTAAGACATCATCCATCAGCCGCGACACTCATCATAGTCTTACCCTCGGGCTCAAGGTCGTCCTCAAAATCTTCGACCCAACCTTCCTCCTTCTAGATCAGCTCTCCTACTTCTTCGGTCTCACACCCAGCGAAGTTTCCAATCAACTATATAGTCGGGAAGCTAATGCCTGTAAGTACTTCTACGAGCAAAAGATCACGGGTGATCCTCATATGGTACCGCAGTACTACGGCAGCTGGGCGCTCAAGTTCGACGCTAGCGATTCACCTGAACCTGGCAGATCCTCTTCACCCAGAACCCTCCAATGGAGATGTGTAGGCGCGATTCTCATCGAGTGCATTGCGGACCGCTCGCTTGAGAAGATGTGTGAACGAGACCACAGCGGAGCCTTGATTGCCGATAAGGCTCCCCTTCCCTACATCGATCACGCAAGCAGTACGTCGAAAGTTCTGTCTCTGAACGACTCTGCATCGCGGCTCAAAGTCTTGAAGAAGGTTATACACGGCGGTGTTTGCTTCGAGCATATTGGCCCCGTCATCAAGGGTCTCGATCCCCATGACATCGTCCTCACTTTCCTCCAGAACACCCGAGACCGACAGACCCCAGAAAGCATCCGCCCTGTCCTTCTCGACTACATCTTCTGTGTTGTGTGGTCTCAGTCCCATGAAAGCACCCACGGACGGCTCGACGAGTTAGACGAAGAAGCACCGCCGATCCCCCGTAGATATGTGATGAACAAGTACCCGATGCAACGACTTCCAACTCCTCCGAATCCGACGTGGTTCTACAATGCTAACCAGCTGCAGGAGTTTAGAGGCTGGTTCCCAACCGAGTGGACGGAGAAGGTGCCAGGGGACTACGAGGTCTGGACCGCGAGCGAATTTGGAGATCCCACGCAGGAGGGAAGCTATTCGACTGAAGACATGCTTACGGAGAAAATGCACGAAGCATGGAAGAAGGGTCAAGAGCAATACGATCGGGAGAAGCCTATGCTCATCGAACAGGGAAAATACGACCTGATCATCGAGGATAGTGACGTCCATCCAACTCCGAAGGAGAAGCGTCTAGCCAAAGCCGAGGCCGATCACAAGTTTATAGTCGAATCTTCTAGAAAGGAGAGGGAGTTTCTGCGGCGGATCGGCCATCCAATTTTAGCTGAACTTGAGGCCGAATGTAAGGATCAGCCACCTTCAGCTGAACTTGAGGCCGCTTGTGAGGATCA